ACCTGCTCATTACCCGAAATCTTTTTGGTCGTTCGGCAAATTACCTAACTCTCCGGAAATTACATCACTGCCTCCGGTCTGAAGACAGCATGTAGTTTCTGGAGGGTTAGGTAATTTACCGAATGACCAAAAAGATTTTGGGTAATGAGCAGGTGTTCCAGAAATTATGAAAATAGCTGTAGGAATTTATGAAAACAGCTGTAAAATCCCGAATCAGAAAATTAAATAGGTGTAGCCGGGTGATAAAATTAACTTTTTTTTGATAAACATTCACCGGTAAGCGATTATATAAATATGTACGTACGTACGTTCATACTTTGAAATTTGTATGTCGTTTCTTTTGAAATAAGTAAATACATACTTATTTTATCTGAAATCGGACGTCGTCTGAAACCCTCATTGATACAATTTTCATATGAAACTCTTCGGAATAATTATGCTGCAAATATGATCGGCAACAATGAAAGACTAATTTCATACCGTAGTAATTTTTTATTTAGATAGGGCAATTTAGGCACACAAGCATAGTAAAGCAGGACCCGAAACCTTTGCATCGCTATTTAAAGAAAAATATATCATCACTGCTTAGTAAAAATTTATTGTCTTAATTTTTGTGCTACTTATTATCATGAATGCAATTTTAAGCATGATTATGCAATGTCTGGTAATGAACCAACGAAAATTCGCCATTGACGATACTGATTTGCTTCGGACCTATGCTAAATTCTGGTTTCCTAATTTCATTAACTATCAGCTTTATACATTATGCGTGTCCATACTTACGTACTTGCTATATTTAAATATTTATATTAACCAATAATTAATAATACGTATTATTAATATACGTGCATTTTGATTATAATTTTTTTGTTTGTAAATACGTAATATAAATATTGTTTGTTAATAAAAACTATTTCATGCCAAAAAACACTTGTGAAATACTGTCAAATTCTTTACACTACGTACTAATTCATATCTATAATACGTTTGTCTTATAATAATAATAAAAGAAAAGGCTTGACTTGCAGTATAATAAATATGTTAGATTGGTTTGTAATGGCCGTTGAACGAAAATTTATTAAATCATTCGAGTATGAATCTTTTGAGAACTGGCAATTAATTGGTAAAGGAGGGTTTGGTACCGTGTTTAGTGCTTATTCTAAAGATACTGATCAAATTGTAGCTTTAAAGAGATTACATTACTGTCCTACAAGTGATAATGAAGATTCGTTTGATGAATTTGCTAGAGAGGTATAAATCAAATTTACAGTATATTTATCACTATTATTACTTAAAATAATTTTAAATGTAACTAAATACGTTGATTATACCATTTAATAAGGTTAAAAATATTACTAAAGTCGACCATCACATATGTATAATTCGATTCTTTGGGATTACTCAAGGTATGTAGGTTTATGTAAGATGATAATAAGATGACTAATTAATGAGATTTGAATTTAATGCAAATTAGATCCGACAAATAAATTACACTACATGGTACTCCAATTTGCAAATAACGGAGATCTTCGAAGTTATTTACATGAACATTTTTCAGAATTAAATTGGTCAACTAAAATTAAAATGGCAAAGGAAATCTCTAGTGGGATTAATTGTTTGCATAATGCAAACATTATTCATCGTGATCTTGTAAGAGGCTTCTCCTTTTTCTTTCTAGTGATAGGCAGTTTATGCGGGATATATAGAAGAACTAAATTTTCTACACTAGAATAAGGCTTTTAAATGTCTGAACTTTAACATTAATAAATCATGGATAATTGCTATCTTAGAATTTCAAAAAAAAATAAAAATATGAATTCGTTCAAAGATTCCAGAAATCAAATTAATAAGTATACAATATTGGGCAAAAATTGTCGAATAACGGTAATTTGGCAAATGAGCACGTGCCGCTTTGCGGCA